ATTGATGATATCGTCGATATTTTCGATAAATTAGAGAGAAATTTATATCTGCTAATCAGTTATTCGTTTTACTGAGTAAAAATGTCTAGTTTTAATCATCTGTTCTATTATATTTCACGCCTTTCTTTAATTTAGAAAAAAATGGGGAATCACCTCGGTATTCACATCCATCGTGTCGCAATAAAGTATATTGGGTAGATTGTCTAGAGCTGGTGTGTCAAATTCTTAGGTTTCCGAGGGCCACATTGCATTTTGGAAATTGTGCCAAGGGCCGTAAACAGTTTTTGATGAATTTTTATAATGTATACTCGAAGAATATTTTCAGATAAGTGTAGTTTGTGACATATATTGTGATGTAATTAAACAGCAGGATAAAGTTTTGTTATTTTCTTAAATTTCAAATGGCATTTCCCTTAAAATTTTCTTGCATTTCACTATTATTGCAATTTACTGTATTTATTACAAAAAATCATAAATTTCTATATACAACTATCCAAAACATTTTTGAACAAACCATAAGAAAAGAATAATACATATTCTATACACTAAAATATGTACCTAATTTAATATATTTGTCCTGACGTTAGGCATCTCTTTTGTGCCACCAGCTCACTAATATCAGGCTGAAATGATTTTACAGTACCAACTCTAATTAACGAGATCACATGATTATCAGTTAATTTGGATCTTTGAGAATGTTTGATTAGTTTGAGAAATAAAAACAATTGTTCACATCTACGTATATAGTATGTGTATCCAAACATTGCTAAGATGTAGCCTGCAAATTTTTTGGTACTGCTGTATTGATATACAGCATTGATACTGTAAATCTGGTAGATTTTACTAGATATATGTTTGAGCATGGAACGGAAACATGCATTTGCACCTCATTCTAAGATTTTTCAGATAATTTATTTACCTGTCGCATCACACGCACAGCGGATATTTAATTCACTGTTTTGTTTATGAAAAAATTGCACGCAACTTGATTACCAAGTGAAACGCCTGAGTAATGACCGCCGTCAATATTCATGTTTATTTGTTTGTGTTTGTGACTTGTTTTCTTTCTTCTTTGGTAAGTGAAAGCGTTTATTACGTTTTAAACTTATTTTATTGGGTTTTGATCACTTTCCAGATTCTTCGCCTTAATCTTTTGTGTATATATGTTTATTTTGTTTTAGCGGATGAATCGAAATAAAATCTTATATTATCTTATTGCTCTGAGAGTTGAGAGTAGAATTCAGAAACTCCAACAGCATCATACTGTACCTTTACAATCATGTCAGATTGCATTTCCTAAAAGTTCTATTTTGAGATTTTCATCAGCTAAGCTAGCATCAAATGTAAATGGTGCTGAGAAAATTCCAAATTTGTCCTCAAACAACAACAACAAAAATCTGAGAATCTATGCTTGAACGCATTTTAAAGTAAATCAATATTGTTTACAAATTTTCCAATGTCCAATTTATTGCCATTTTCCTGATGTTTGATTTTTGCATCTTTTTAAACTAGAAAATGGGTCAAATTTTTGGCAGGAGAAAACCATAACCAACCAATTTGTTTTGAAAAATATTTTCAATTTTTTGCGCGACAACGATGGGCTGCCATAGAAGTTCCCTGGGGCTGCGAGTTTGACCCCCCTGGTCTAGAGCCATCGGTGCTATGTCTAACCTGAGACTTTTCGTATCCAAAAAAGTGCCTAGAACTGTATATTTTGGACTTATCTGGAAAAGCTCATTGTGCTTCACATTCATGCGTTGAGGTTGATGAGTGGCACACGTTTTTTGTGAAAGACTGAATCCCATTTATAAAAAGATGAATAATCTCAAATTAGCTGATCTATATAAATTTGAAATAGCAAATATCGTGTTTTTTATAGGTACTTCACTAACTGTAATAGAGTCCACGAATACAACACTCGCCTAGCTGGTAGAGGAGCATGTTTTATCAATCGTACAAGTTCCAGTTTGGCCCGTAACTCCATGAAAATTACTGGACCAAATATTTGGAACAGTATTCCTGATGAAATCATCGAATCGTCTTGTAGCTGTTTTAAATATAGGAATATGATCTATTTTATAGATAAATATTAGGTGTTGCAGAAATAAATTTCTGCACTTGTTAGAATCTTTATCCTTTCAAGGTTCTAATTTCAATGTCTATATTTTTTGATAAATAGTTTTCTATTTTAGATGTCTCTAAATATGCCAGTGATGAAGTATTTTGCATCTTTATATTTGCAAATAATAACTGATAAATGAACTCTTTTCTTTTAGGAGCCAACTTACATTTCCTTTAGGTCTGATAGTGATCCATGTAGCCTAATATCAATATTAGATAGGATAGGATTTACATATTTATCCTGAGGGAGAGGAAATTCCATTAGACGGCTTAATCACATGGCGAACCACAGTCTCTCGTCCGGTTACCAGTCCAGGTCGGGTATGGGATTAGTTAGCCAGTTATTTGTTTTCGGAAGCATGGACTTGATAGATCTTGCTCTTTGCATTCGTGCCTTGGTGTGTAACATCAATAAATTACATACCAACCGTTATATATTATACATTTGCATCCTTGACATGATGCAAAATCTGAAGTAGTTACACACTACAGTAAATTCTTTTCAATGTCCCCTGATAAGTTTGAGGTGAAATTCATTGTACATATAACATATGTATCTTTGAATAGTTCATTTTGCCAATGATACTCGTGTTTATTCCAATGTGTTATGAAATCGCTGGAATGTCTAATTCCATCTTAGTATGGTAATTGTTTGTCATTTACGAAATTGCTATTAATATTACTTACTCAATATTCACTTAAAACTGTTATCTAGTTCGAAAATTTCTTCATTCAATCATTTTCATTATATGTCTGATTGCATCTGACATAATTTGATAATACTGAGGCATTTTGGTAATAAAACCAAATGATTTAATTGTGCTAATTATATCACTTTCAATTTACCACCTAGTCAAACTTGAAGATACTCTATTTGAAGTTGTGTCATAAGTGTGCTTTATACACAATTTTGCTCCTCTATTTATTGTACAAATATTGCTTCAGATGTGTGTGGCCCACTCATGTCTTTCGTGTCTTATATGGTTTCAGCATTTGTCTATAGCAAGTTACAGTGAAGATCATTTTCTTTTCTTTGTTACCTATTTATTAATATTGCCTATTAATTGTTTAGAAATATCAGTGGGAACATTTTGTCTAGAATGGCCACATCAATCATATACTAATAACATATGTTCTGAAGATCATCTTTTGCTTCATATTGTATACTAGTTGCCCCAGATGTGAATAATTGAAATTGTTATTCTTGTATTAGTCAAAACTTTTGCAAACACTTTGTGCTAAAATTCATCAAATAAAAACCTTCTGGATTGCATGATTAGTGTTTGTTAAAATCCCATAGATTAAAATGAAGTATTCTGGTTCTGGTGTAATCTTCAAACATTTGCCTATTGATTGATGACAATCCTAGTAAGGCTATGAATAAAAGTTCAAGATGCCTGGATTCTGGATTGCATGATTAGTGTTTGTTAAAATCCCATAGATTAAAATAAAGTATTCTGGTTCTGGTGTAATCTTCAAACATTTGCCTATTGATTGATGACAATCCTAGTAAGGCTATGAATAAAAGTTCAAGATGCCTGTTGAATGTTTCCGAACAGTATTTTTTATTATGGATGAAATAGAAGTTAGTTGTATTACTGAGTTTCATTTATGTCTTAGGTTGATAACAAATTGTCGCCATATTATTATTATTATGCTTTTGTCATCTAAGATGAAACTATAATGATTTATATAAAAATGGATTATCTGTTGGTCCAAAATTTCACTTATTTTGATGCAAGCGAAGACCATTATTTAAAAAAATTGTTGTTCATTTATATAAATTTATATATTTGGCTTTAGCCTAGTCAGGTATAAATATAAAATATATACTGTGTCTGTATCCTTGAATCCATATACACTTGCAATTCCAATATGCTTGACTTGTGAATTCACAGTGAATTGTTACTGTTTTCTCATTGTGATTTTGGAGATTGATGTTTTTTTATGTTTGCAATCCTTCGCTATATTCACCAATGTTACATATCGTGTGTTGTACTTTGCTGCTCTAAACCAAAATTGCATCTTATTTTGCATCCATGATATTTCAAAAGCAACTTTAACTCCCTATTTTTATATTTGATTACTATTATTAAATGTTCATATTTGAAGTGTCCCAAATCATGTTATAAAATGTTACATTCTTCATTTTTTAAATTTAATATGGTATTTGCTTTGTCATCTAAAATGATACTCTTTTAACACTTGAAATTGAATTACATGTAAATATTGTATATAGTAAACAAAAATGAGAGGTATCGATATATTTACACTGAACCTGTTATTTATTTTTATGCTTATTTTAATTGAATTGAACTGGGTGGCAACTGACTTTGATGACCCCCAAAGGTCGTATTGTTGCTTCCCAGTCATATACCAAAAACATCTGTTTATTTGATATTTACATATGTATGTATGTACGGTATATATTGTTTTCTTGGTTTGACAAAACGAAATAAACTCTCTCTCTCTCTATTCAAACCCCCTGATTCACTGTGTATATTATTTTATATATATTTGGAATGTTTACTTATGGAATTATCTATTATTGTTTTTAGCTGTTTGATACACCAACATATATCGATTATATCACTTGTTGTTCCTAACTTTTGATGACTGTATTTTTTGGTAGACGAAATCCCACTTTTCGCGACAACTGTTCACTGTATCTGTGATCAATTCATGGCACATGGCGGGTTTGATTTTTGAAAAACAAGAAACTGTCTAATGGGTTCATCTATTGGTTAGTAGGGGGCTAGAAGTTTTCAAAATACCTAAGGGGAGGTAGCCTATGTATCAAAAGCACACTTCCGGACTGTTTCTTTGTTTTTTTATTAGACAAATATATTTATATAACATTACAGTATATTAGCAAAATATACTATAAATTCTAGAGTCAAAATCATTTGCCCTTCAGCTTTTTCATCGAATAGGATTTATTGAATTGACTGGAGTTATCACGCAAATTTTGAATTATTTGTGATGGTTTATTTGTAGAATTAGTAAGATGCTGCTCAATAAGAAGATTGTAGCTGTAGTTATACTGATATGTGGTGAGTGTTATGTTGTATAATATAACCTCAATTTATTGAGAGGGGCTATTCCAAGCAACTGTGGAATTTAATCAATTTTTCAAAAGTGTAGTGAGAGTAATTGTTTTGCCCAGTCTTGTGTGGCTCTCTATCTACCTCTATAAAGAAAACTTTTATAATTTGCTTGTCCTTCTGGTGAGCAATTACAAAATTTTCAAAATGCAGAATATTACCAATGAAAATGTTCTTTAGGGTCACAAAAAAGTGTTTTATTTTAGTTTTAGCAATGGACTTCAATATTTTACAAAAAAAAAATTTTGGAATGTCAAATTTACCGTTCAACTTTGTGTGTCAGAATTTCTCTCTTTTTGGTTCAATAAAACAAACACTCCACGTGTCTCAAACAAGGGGCGTCTGGCACCAAGTCAGATGCATCATATCGCACCATGCTTGTCTCAATAATAATCTAAACTAATTGTGGTCGTCACGTGACCAAAATTGTCGTACTGTATTTAACCGATACTGAGGGACAACAATGTCTACTCGTCTCTCAAAGGGGAGGTGTCTGATCATCGGTAAAATGGGTTTTCCTTAGACGAGACAATGTCACTCGATCTGTATAGTGTGCTGTACTAAATTATCTTTGCTCATCAGTTAATATTAACTGACATTGCAAATTTGTCCCGCAGATTCGCACTTTTGAAAATGTCCTAGTATATGGGTATAAAATAATACACTTGGCGTGTCTAAACGGAGGGGCTCCAAAGTTTTTTTTTTATGAAAGAATTCAAATAAATTAGCTATGACTAAGGCCCTAGGGGTCAATATTAGATGCTTACAACTGACTAAACCAGTCGTTCTCACATTTTTTTGCTCGCGGCGCACTAAGCAAATAAAAAAAATTTTGCGACACACAAAAATGAAGTTAGCTTTAAACAAATTATTCTGCAAATGTTAATGTGATGTGTTTGCCTGTTTTCAGAAACAATTGAAACAAGGTTCCGTCGCTTCCTTCTTTGCTTTTAATTTCAGCCATATAAGATAATCTGTTTTCACAGAGCAACGAAGGAGCAAGTGGCTAGATTATTTTGATGGGTTTTGCATCGATGATTGAATGGAATTGTAAGCAGATAGACTCATCGAAACTTGCTTTCCTGTTAACCTTAACCTTAAAAACACTCTTCGCATCTCTAAAACGACAGGCATCAAAGATTCCCCATGCCGTAAACAATTCAAACGAATTTACTCCGACCTCACTTGTGAATCTTCACTGTTTAGCATACTCTAACCCAGTGGTTCTCAACCTTTTTCAGTTCGAATACCGGTAAAATTTCGAAACAAATTTTGGGGACCGGCCGACCCAAAATTAACCAAAAATGTCACGAACACAAAACATAAGCAAAATAATCCAATCTGACATACGTAGGCTGTGCAAAAGAAGACAACCAAATTTAATAAGCAATTTGCTGCTATCTTTTTGATATTCAATCAGGTACCGAACTATGTGCTATCAAACTCCTCCGTTATTAAGTTAGCCAGTGATTTCGCTACACCCCCCTATATGGGGTGAACATCCCCATAAAATTTCGAACACCTCCCCTAATTTTGAGTACGATTCCACCCTTCAATTCCTAACTAATGTATAATTGTATTTAAATATATAGAATATGGAATTTATCAGTGTAGATCGTTTGTCAAAACAAAACACATTTTTACAAGTTTTCAGTTTTATTGCTAATAGCAAAACATTCAGCGGTTCATGGCTTGAAATGGGCAGAGGACCTCTCACTAAGTTTGGTTGTTAGACGAATATTGCTGCTACGAATCAATAAGAGTTAAAAAATCACAAGATTAACTAATATGCTGTCAATACTTTGTATTTTGCAAATTGCTAATAATATATTAATATTGGAATATATTTGGCAGCCGGCAGCCACGAACCAGCACCAGAACGCGGACCGGCGGTTGAGAACCACTGCACTAATCTGATATACCAGCAGCCAGCTAGGGTTATCGCTTCTGGTGATCAGTGAGAGTCAATTGCGAAAATGTTTTTATTGTGTTTCCGTCTAGGTATTTGAACCTTTCCTTTTATTCAAAGTCGTTTGCCTGACAACTTCTCAAGATTGTCCAAAGAATGAGGCCGCTGCTATAGCAGACGATCCGACCAGACTGTGCAGAAAAGAATGTTCAACTGATGCGGATTGTACAGGCACCAAGTCTTGCCTGTGTGATGATCTGTGCGGAAAGTCTTGTTATAACCCTGGTATACTGGTTAATAACTATATTATTAATAATAAATTTTTACTCTGTGCTACTATAGTGTGAACTCCACTGCCATAATTTTCCTAGCCAAGTACAGTCTATGTTAGAGATCGCCAACATTTTTTCAAGCTACCCAAATTTTCTAAAATTTTAATTTCATTTCTCGACCCAATGGCTCAAATACTAGATAAAATATAGTACTTTTATGGCGGTGTAATTGGATAACTAATATAAAACAAAGTGAGAAAGCTGCGCAAGTTTTTTTTCATCAAGGTTTTGAAATGCAAAACAAAATAAATGGTGCAACGTTTCACACTGTGATACAATTACTATTGATCAAGACTTGAATATCAAATGTAAAACAAACAATAAAATTACCTAGAAAATAAAATTAGTAACTTTCATTTAGTAACACTTTGAAAAAACAAGCGATTAATTTAGCGACTCGTGAGTTCTGCGTCAAAGCAAAGCGGTGCAGGTCACAAACTAATGGATATTCAAACAGTAAAATACTATTAGAATATTTGAATATTCTGCCCTGTCCTAGACATAATTTAATAATAATTATAATTTCTTCAGATTATGAATGTCCTGACTTAACCGGCACCTTGACTAATGGAATAGTATCGATGCCAGATGGCCGCAAATATGGCGCTAAGGCCAAGCATACTTGCGGTAATGGATATTACAGAGTAGGGGAAGAGAAAAGAATTTGTAGATCTACAGGGAAATGGAGCCACGTTCAAACTAATTGCACAAGTGAGTATTTTGTGTGTAAGTTGAATATTCTCAAATATAAGCCAACCCTTAAAACAGTGACTTTATAAATATTCGCATATAAGCCGACCCTGCGGATCTTAACATGCTGTATTAGTTGTAGGCATTGGAATTAAGTTGGCATAATGTCAGCGCGATCGGGTTATGCTCGTATAAGTCTCCCCTTTATATCAGCAACTTCGTTTTTCAGTTTCAACTCGGCTCATAAGCGAAGATATACGATACCTCAATTTTCCGGAACTTGTTACTTTAAAAAATTAAGTCGTACTCTGTTGGCTATAAGCGTCAAGAGAACGCTCGCTATCGGGAAGTGTTGAATGAGTTATATTTTACTGTTGTATCTTGTTATTATAATATCTAACGATGTGCAAAACGAATTGAAAATTTGTCATCCTAGGCTTTGACATCTGATGGTCAGAAAAAAAAATACTCAATTTAATTTTAACTCAATGAAAATTAATCCTAATTCAATCACTATTCAATTTACATGAGTTTACAATGTTTTGTTCAAATTTCTTTGTTCTTATTGAAAATGAGTTCTCTTCGCTAGTTTTATAAATATTTTCGATGATAGGCCTATCATTTGTATTTCCTAGCTTTGTGAGTTTGGGAGTATATACTAGATATTGCCTTTTACTAGGATTATCCACCAATGGTATAGTTTTGCTAATGCCAACAAGATACATATTATGATCTTTTCATTCCTATTCCTTACCCCGGTGTAGTTTGTCTGTATAGTATAGACCTTCGAAAAGCTGTGCAACTGGCAGGACAAAGTCAATTAAATAAGTGGTAGCTGTGATTGGAAAACCCTTTGGCGTCATTACATTATGAAATATATAAACCCAATCAATAAAGAGTATACACAAATCATGCTTTATTTTAGAAGACTAATTTGAACAATGAGCCGCGCCAAAAAAAAAAAGCAAGATGACCCCCCCCGAAAAAAAAAATCACCGAAAAAATCAGTATGAAGTGGGTACTTCATATGTTGCCATGTTTTACAGACCCAAATTATATGGCCCACAAGTTTCGTGTGTATTTTGGTCTATTGGTACATGAAGTTTGACGACCACTGAATTGGATTTTAAAACGCTTGCTGGTTGAAACTGAAAGTTGTTTGAACTTTTATTGATTCAGTTGAGCAAACAACGATGACTTTGCGTTGTATGGATAGTAGAAACAGGAATATATTTGATAATAAATGTGCATTCAGTCATGATGGGCGAGAAAATCACATATCTACCAAGTTACCGATTGTAACATAGGGTCCATAAAGTCTAAAATAAATTTTAATTGGAAAGGAAATTATCGATACCATATATTGTTTTGGTCCTCAAAAGATATACTGAGTGAAGTTAAAATACTTTATTGCTGATTAAAAAACAACAAACACGGTCAATAATATACACTGAGAACTGACTTCATAACAAATTCGAAATTGTGAAGGGACCTGTCTTATACCCTGAGTTAGGTGGGGAGCATTTCAACTAGAATGTTATTTTATCTTTCAGGGGGCTGTGATCTACTTCCAACCATCAGTGGCGCCTATGCTGACACAGATCCAGACATCCTCGGCTATCAACCTGGGGAAACGGTGACGTACGCTTGCAACACAGGTACATATTCTTTTCATATTACCAGATTGGCTTGAAGCCATGTCATGAGCACTCACTCGTAAATGTACGGGGAGAATATTTGAGTGAAGTGTCAAAATTTGTGTAAAGAAAACTCATTTCTAAGCAAAGTTACAGTCAGCGACTCAAATGCTAAGGTCTACTGTACTTTTGACTTTGAGTAATTTAGTATAAGTATAGTATAAGTTTATTTAGACTCCATAATCAGCAATAGACAATAAAATAATTGATTAAAACAAAATAAATAAAACTGATTATAGGGTCGGGAAAGCAAACGAAACCTCAAGCAAGGTTTAAAGCGAACATATTTTAGGTGGGGAGGTATTGATAAAAGAAGTAGTACGTGTTTGCTCACCCAACCAATTTATTTTGGTACATTGCCAGTAACCCTTGCCTTCCCCACAAAGGAGGGATAAAATAGTATTTATACAAATAAATACAAACGATATTTAATCTATATATAAATTAATTGAGAATGTAGTGAAAAAAACACATGTCAATATAATAGTAAATAATGCGGCTTATCTAACTCGGCCAGCCCCCCAAAGAAATATGAAAGTTGCCAGAAATACAATAAAGATACAGTTAACACCTAGTACTGAATTACTCTCTTTTTAAAGGTTACGAGGGGGCAGGAGATTTTACTGTAACTTGTCTATCTGAATATGAGTGGTCAACTGTCAATTTTTATTGCCAAAGAAAGAGTTGTGGAGCCCCTGAAACAATTTCTAACGGTGCATTCACAGGAACGAGTTTCTTATTCGGCGATTTTATTATTTATTATTGTAACACAGGTGAGGATGCATCTTATTACGATACTTGCAGAAACTAAAGTAACCGTTCTCTGATTGAATTTATAATCGAGCACTAAAATACAAAGAATTACAGAGACTAACGATTTATGGTGGTTTATTGCACACTTTCACTCAGAAGTAAAGGATACTGGTCTCCGAGCAAAGTTGCAGGCGCTCACTGGTAAGTAAATAAACTCGTCTCTGAGCAAAGTTACAGGCACTCACTCAGAAGTAAAAGAGACTTATCTCTGAGCAAAGATACAGGCACTCACTCAGAAGTGAAAGAGACTTATCTCTAAGCGAAGTTACAGGCACTCACTCAGAAGTAAAGGAAACTTGTCTCTGAGCAAAGTTGCAGGCACTCACTCGTATGTAAAGGAAACTCGTCACTGAGCAAAGTTACAGTCACCCAGAAGTAAAAGAGGACTCATTTCTGAGAAAATTACGGGCATTCACCCAGAAGTGAAGGAGACTTGTCTCTGAGCAAAGTTACGGGTAACCACTATAGTGTTAAGTGCTCTACTGAGACTGCAGAATTACAGCGTCGAAATACAATTTAGTCGGTGGGCTATATAACTAACTTCACACATGTAGCTGGGCAACACAAAAAAAATAGTTTTCCATTTGTTACACAACAAATTAAAACCTAGTGACAACCAGAGCGCCATAGAAAAGGCAAAGAAGAGCATGCGGCTATCATTTAGCCTTACGGTAATAAATGCATCAGAAAGGCGATAGATTTAACACAGCAAAAGAGCAAAAATCGTTATGTATTTTACCCATGTGAGCACCTTTTTATACATAAACTGTTGGATTACAGTCAGAGCGTGATTGTGTTCTTCATTGTTTTGGAGTGAAATTTTTAATGAGCCATACCTTGCTTGATGATTTTGCCGAGTATCAAATTTATTATGATTGAAATTTTTCACCAAAAGTTTGCCGGAATTTACCTATTAATGTATTTAACCCTAACAAATGGAATTTCCATGGGTACATTGATGAAAGCCATAATGAATCTATAATAATTCTTTAATTCTACCACTGGTAAATAACTGAATTGATTTAAAAAAAACTGACTTTGATTTTGTTTAATTCTTTGACTGTAATGCATTTATTCTTTTGTTTTTGTTTTCTGAATCTGTAATATTAAATTTTGTGGATAAAATACCTGATAAAAAAGTGTTACAAATATATTATCGCATAGTCTTGCAAAAAAGCCGAGTTTAAAACTCAATATATTTTTACTCACACACAAAACTATTATTTTTCAGGATATGTCATCTCAGGCACAGCGGTTCGGGAATGCATGGCTGATGCAGTATGGGAACCTGAGGAAGCCCCGCCATCTTGCAATAGTAAGTTCATGTTTGATGTACTAGTCTGACTGGTTTTATATTGGAATATTCAGAGTTTGATAATATTGAACATCGTAACATTACTAAGTGGCTCGACGGTGTGGCGCATCCTGCTAAGCGTTAGGAATACGCTCGCCTCCGCACCTGTGAATACCTTGCGTGGGTTCGCAGGTTCGAATCCCATTCCAGATGGTTATGCGCGCGAGGATTACTAGACTCCTCGCCGCTGTAGGGTGGTTCGCGTAACCACTGGTCTGTTACGGGTTCCTCCACCATCAAGTCCATACTTCCGAAAACAAACAATTTAACTAATCCCATACCCGACATGGACTGGTAACCGGACGAGAGGCCGTGGTTCGCCATATGATTGAGCCGCATTATCGGCATATGTAAATCCTATCCTATGCAAACCAATATGGCAGACACCAGAACGTTGTATGTGTACCAGGTTAGGGTTAGGCCATATTTTCAGGTACAAATATTACAGGAGTCACTTGGCTAGTCCCGCCACTCGTAATACAACTAAAATAAAGAAATTTGGAATATAATTATGGCCGTGAAGGGCTTAGTATAGCCATTTTCATTCTTGCTACATCATCCAGGCCAGTGGAGCAGTTGGAGCACGCCAGGCGTAAAACTGATTTTACCTTTACTAGAAAACTCTCCGTTCTTCCTAGTTGTATTGCTTTATAAGATTATTTCACAGGGTTTTTCACTCTGTTGGGCATGAATTGTTTGAAGGTAATGGGATTTGGAATCTACCAATTAAAGTAACACCATGAATACCACTGGAATGATAAACGGGAACCTCTGAAAGGGGGCCACCAGCCACAAAAGGTTGGGAACTACGGCATTATGGCTATATGCTTACGAATTATTTTAACATTTGACTGGAATTTTAATGGAAAAACTCATTTCGAATATTCGTGAGCTTGTGACCTTGCTCTGAGCAAATTTATAATAAAAAACTAAGATGGGTTTATTTCCTTTGGGTGTTGCGTGAATATTTTGTTTGTGAAACAATTGAGAATGAATCAGTTCTTTCAACACAAACCATGACTCATGCTGACGTCACATGATTGTAGGAGACCAATTCAAATATTTACCTAATTAAGATATATTGAGAACTGAGAAAACAAAAAAATGAAAATTGTAACCGGACTTTATGAATACTCTATATCAGGAATAAATATATTTTTTATTTTAAATCTTTAATTTCGAAATAAAATGGGATAGTTACATCTGAAAAGTAGGTGATATTTTGCTAGCTATACATGAGCCCAGCTCCAAAACAGCTGTATTTCAGTTATCTTATCAGTCTTCTGTTACAATTTTTATCTCTTATTTGAAAAACCACAACAATTCGTTATAGTAATTATCCAAGCTATTTTCACAATATGTCAAATATTTCCCAGAATATTATTCCAAATACATATCTGTCAACTAGGTTATAAATTTCCCGTCGTGGCAACAAAACTCGTTTCTATGTACGCAGGATACTTTACGTAACAAGACCTCAAACATTGCTATCAATGTCAATATTATGACTTCTAACGTTTTAAGGGCTGTTGTTTCTAATGTCATTATACAAATTTCGACTTTCATAACAAGTTTTGTCATTTGGAGCACTCTAACAATTTGTGACAGTTTAAGTGGTCTTCATATTATCTCAGTGATGTCATCAAAAAATGCAACATGGCGTTCAAATATTTTTCAGAATATAATTCAGTAACATATCGCCTTGTAGGTCATAAATTTCCCCATATCGGCAATGAAACTAGATGACTTCCAATGTAAATATTATGATTTCTAAGAGCTGTTGTTTCTGATGTCATTATAAGAATTCTGATTTTCATAGCAAGTTTTGTCTGGGACAACATTCTAAATGTATAGTAATGCCTAGGGATGCTCATGACTGAACAGTTTCATAATTCTATCTTCAGAATGATCTCAAACATAGTTCAGTACTCCCGTAGTATGTGAACCAAGATGGCGGGACTAGCCAAAAGTGACTCCCGCAGTACAACGGCCCGCAACCAACTTACCTAATGTTAAACAAGTTCATGGACGCCATCTTGTGCCATATTTGGGATACGCGGAACAATAGATTCTTATGGGAAATTTTCGTCGTATTGTTGTACCGAATCGAATAAGTCAGCTGGTATATGGGCTAGAATGAAGCCGAAGGGTGGATTTTGAACTTTAAGTTATATGCTACCTAAATATATAATGCAATTAAAAAAAAAAACTATCTAATGCGTTAAATTTGGCCACAAACACAATGTAGAACCATTTTTAATCATTTTGTCAAAGATTTTATAGTGATACGCCAAAGTTACGCTGTAAAATGTCGCCGCAACAATCCTACAATGTCATTTGGTCTTCTAGCACAGCTCGGAGCCGAGCAGTAGGGCATCATGAAGCTTGACAGACTAAAAATGTTAACCCAAAAATAAAAAAATAAAAAATAGATGGTCAATTATGACGATTGGAATGGCCAACTTACTTCGGAAGCAACTCGAAACCGGTATCCTTGTCTTCAAAGACATTTTAATGTACTATATATGTCATTTGGCAAACATGAAAGGATATCAGCTTCAAAACCCAACCTTCAAAATTTTCCTACCTAAAATATTAGTGAAAATAAAGGTATGTTTCAATAATTGTGTGCGAACTACTCATAAGGCGCCGTGTTAGATGGCCGAGATCAATAGACACAAGATGGCGTCCATTTTCTGAGCGTTGCTTCGCTTGTATTATATACGCTTTGTCGTAGTATTTGTACCTGTAATATTGGCGTAACCCTAACCTGGTACACATATTACGTTCCGGATTCCGCAATCTTGGTTTACATACTACTACGGGAGTACCCATAGTTCAAGTCATTATAAACGCTTCTTGTCTGGTCTGGTAGCGTTTTGTGTACTAATAAAAATTTGGTTTCACTAAGATCAAAAATTGTTACTGTTCGAAAAATGTGTAATTTAATAATCGAATTTCTCTTGAGTGGGTCATGTCTAGGGTATAAAAAATAGTTTTATATTCTGCCCTGTAGTTCAATACTTAATGTTCTCAATTTATTTGTTTCTACTGAATTATGATGTATTTCTAACATTTTGCATGTTACATGTTTTATTATAAAGACAGAAATTCTCAAAGCAAGGTGATAACACCTTTTATTGATAAATTAAAGAGACTCATCTCCGAGTAAAGTTATCGGAACAACAGAGATGAGAGAGTGTGAGAGAGAGTTTTGAAACGTGCGGAACCCTAAGACTTCACTGGAAGCCCGGTTTAAAACTATTGGTATAGATAGGTGGTATCCAAACTTTTTGAGTCATGTCCCCTGTTTAAAAATTTTTAAGTCCTGCACCCCACATTAAAGATACTAATAACAGATAGTAAGGCGAAAGTTAGTTTTATTCATAACACGCTGACAAAAAAGTTGATTTATTTGTAAATTTCAAAGAAAAGTGGGCAAGATCAAATCCAACAAATCTTTATTTTTATTTTTAATTAGCTTCACGATCCCTCAAAAATGAATTGTTGGGCGCATCTCATTGTTTGAGAACCACTGGTATGGATAAATATGGTTTGTTTAAACTAAGATTGCACCACTCCTTCCTCGTTATACAAAGTCAACACTCAATTCCACGAAATGTTGACTCAACAAATACCGTCCTTTGTGTGTTTACTATTGTAAGTGCAATGGGCAGGAAGCTAAAAGCATCACACTAAATCATGTAGGTATTGGAGTTAGAAAAACTCTAGTTTGAATAAGAACCACCACACACGTGTTGCAGAAGCGTAGCTAGGCGGAGGATCGTGAGGGTTGAAACCCCCTTTTTTGAAATGTATAAAAAAGAATATTCCTGTATCATACATAGCATTTTTCTTAGCTACACAATTTAGACCCACAAGACTTGAAAACCCTGCCATCACTTATAGTCTAACTTAGCAATTAGAAATTTCATAACCCCCCTTTCTCCAGTAAAAATTCCTGGCTAAGCCCCTGCTAGGTTAATAAATTAGGCAGGGAGTGCCGTTTTCTGGTTTTCAGTAAATAGTCGCTCTTTTATTTTCATTCAGCTTCACACCCCTCAAAATATTGTTGGAAGCATGTTGGAAGTACGTGGATGGAACGTAAATATCAAGATCAAACTTAACAAATATATTCATTTTTATCCAGCTTCACACCCCTCAAAATATTGCCTACACTACACCCTTTGTGACCCCTTGTGAAGCGCGCCCCACCGTTTGTGAACACTGTTCTAGAGTGTTCAGTTTTGACCCCAAGTATGCAAGACATCTGAAAAATGATCTATAATTTCACCCTTTTTCAGTCGATATTGAATGTGATTTTGAGAGGGCAGCCACCCCTACATGCGGCTACACGGTTGAGAGTGGAACATTTGCTAGAACATACAGAGATGCGGACGGTTCTGGCTTCCCAGGTATTGTTTTATATTAAATGACTTTTTTTTTTTTTTGATGAAAGTTTCTCAAAGCAAACTAACATGTACTTACTCGTAAACTCATCTTTGAGCAAAGTTGCAGGCGACAACTTGAATGCAAAGAGGTACAAAAATTATAACGTAACTATGGTAACTAATTTTATAGAAATCTGGTGGTGCATTATGCGCACTAACTCTGAAATGAAGAAGGCTGATATCTGAGCAAAGTTACTGGGCACCAAGATAGCGCACAACCTGATAACCCTAACCCGGTACGCATACTATGTTCAGGTTGTGCGCCATCTTGGTGCACACACGACGGGAGCACCAGTTGCTGGTGTGCCATGTCCACCTAAATACGAATAGCTAGTGAAACTATATAGAATTATCATGGTGCATTATGTGCTTTCACTTAGATGAGCCTCTTCATTGAGCGAAATTATGAATTGCCACTGAGATGAATTTTATTATTACTAATAATTTATAACAAAGTATAAATGCTGTTTACTACTACTACTAAATGTTTATTAGCTGCAAATTTTGGCGGTACAAAAGCATGTGAACCAAGATGGCGGACACTGGAACATAGTATGTGTACCAGGCCATAATTTTATTTCAATTTCGCTCATTTTAGTTCTATTAGTTTTGAGACTAGCCTAGTGACTCTTGTAGTATTTGTACACGAAATCATGGCCTAACCCTAACATACACATACTACGTTCCAGTGTCCGCCATCTTGTTTCACGTACTTCAGGAGTACCCTATCTTTCGTGCAGGAGCTATAAAACTTTCAAATTTTAATCATATCAAACATGCCATTAGTTTTACTTATATCTGATTTATTATGATAATATCATTAAAGCTTTATTTAAATATCCTTAGATTTTAATGAATAGAATAAAATTTATATTATGTAGGATTTTAAAATATATCACAAATTCCAGATTAGGATTTTTTTTTTAGAATGTATTCGGAATTGTCCAGTATTCAGTTATGGCAATCCTATTTTTGAGCGAGTCCGAGCACATCTTCTAAAATAGCAAAACTCGTATTCTTTTATTTTTAATACATTTTAGGTTTTGTACTTGCTGGTAATGGTAAAATCCTATCTGGGGCCATAGGTTTGGCTGGCAATGAGGAACTATGCATGAGTGTCGACATAAAAGATACATCAAATGGCGAACTGGTAGCTAACGCATACAATGAAGCAGAAACGTGAGTAGATAGGGTAAGATTTTTATATTAATCTCAGGGGAAACGAAAGCCAACAAGGTGGCCTAATTATATTGTGTACCATGAGTTCTTGTCTGTTTACCAGTTAGGGCACCAACAGGGCTCATTGAGCTTTGGAGACTATTTTATACCGAGTTGCGGTGGTGCACTCACTCAGAAGTAATGAAGACTCATCTCTGAAATAAGGTACAGACGGACACTGAATCGACAAGAGCTACTGAAACTATATAGTTACGGTGAGGCATTACTTTCAAGTCAATGGGTTATGCGAGACTCAAAGCAGTTCGTGTCAATACGGTTAAAAAAAACTTTTGGCATAATGATCTCTAATATATTTAGGTGTCTTATCCCAGAGGTTCAGAAACTGGGGTACATTAGATTATGTGTGAGAATATTCTTTCCATAACTTGTAATATTCTTTTGAATACATTTATTCGACTAATGCTAAAAACATTAAGACATGCCTTAAAGAACTTCTCAGGAAATCACATTTTCACCCCAATGAAAGCTACAACTACAGTAACTGCCAAGTCTACTTGCAGTTCACATGACTTACTTTGTCCAATCAAATCACACAGTACAATTTTGGGTATTCCTGTAGTGTGTTTACCAGGTTAGGGTTAAGGTCTAGTTTTATTCTGATTTTCCTTTTTTTTGTTCTGTTATGAGTTCGGGGACTGTCTGTGTTAGCCAAATGAATACCCCCCTGTTCATAGGTTTCAGTCCTTTTAAACAACTTCATGTAAATGAGGCAAATAAAATTGGTCACCTCCATATTGGAACACAAACTTTTGGAGCGCCTAATTTTGGGGTTACGTGAGTGAATCTTAATGTGTGCAAAGAGTTCTAATGATATTTTGTATTACCATAGTTTGTGATGCCAATATATTCAATATTTTTCAGGAAAGCAATCTGGCCATTTTCTGCCTCAACCAATTGGAAAACTGAGAAATTCAAGTTAAAGAAAGTAAAGTCTACTGATACTGAGGTTTGTCAAAATATACTTTACGAAAAATGATTTTCTAAATCGCAAGTTTTTTTTAATCAGAATCTCAATCTACATATAATACAAATTTGTCAAGCTCTTTGCTGTGACATAGTCTGATTGGCTTCGTTAGACGTAGCGTACTACCACCGCATATTCGTTTTTATTGCCCAATAATTGATCAGCTACACATTAAGATTCAGCAAAAAACCTGGACAAAGTGTATAAAGATTGGAAAAGCATGAGAATATGGAGAAGCCATTATAATTAAATGTGTAATTTGTTCGCATTCTGATAATATATTATAATATTTCACAAAGTTTGTAAATCGTTTAGAAGTCTCTTAACTCAGCCTTAAAAAACTCCTGCTCACTAGAACAAACATTTGCTCAGTGTAAAATTTTTTCAGAGGAAACACTGACACAGGCCCTATTGCTACTTTATTTATAGAAGTCTCTTGACTAGAGAGTAATTTTCTTTTTTTTTACTTATGCTCCCCCCATAAACAAAGGCATCATAAAATCAAATATTTTTCTATTTAGGTCCATATAACTTTTTTTTGTAACTCTAGGTACAACTGGAACTTGTGGCATCAGGGAATGTGGAATTGGACAATATCAGGACATTGGCCTCTGCGGACTGTAATGGTCTAGGTACCGGTAAGTGATGAGATAGGATTTACATTCTTATCTCGGGGAGAGCAAAAGCTAATAGGACAACTTAATCATATTGCGAACCACGGCCTCTCGTCTGGTTACAATTCCATGTCAGGTATGGGATTAGTTAACCAGTCATTGGTTTTCTGAAGCATGGACTTGATGGTGGAGGAAGCCGTAACCGACCAGTGGTTACCCCTGCACAGGATTGGTTTTATTTGGTCATCAGCCTAACGGTTAAAATGTTTGATTTGAACTGTTGGACTGTGTTGGGATTATAGGTCAAAGATCTGTGTTGAAATAAATTTTTTTTATTTTATATTTCAAAAGGGGTGTGTGCCTGGGTACGACCCACAAAACTACCCCCCTGGGTATGCCTCTGGCATATTTGTAGATTTCTCTGTATCAGTGGCAGCTCATACAGAAATTTATTTGGAGTAGAAAGTGAAAACGCTTTTAAAAATCTCATTAGTAAAATGTGTTAAAAATTTGTCAATCCACGAATAACCGCAAAAAACAGTGTTCCCTATGCTAAATTTAATTTTTTTATCTTTGCTTTTTTACAGCTTCGCCATGTGCTGAACAAAATCTCGATCACGGAACAATATCTCCAGAGAAGGACTTTTACATTATGGATGAGGAGGTCAGTTACTCTTGCGACAATGGTTACACTTTGGAAGGTGGACAGACAGGAACATGCAAACATGATGGTACTTGGACTACAACACCATTTTGCAAATCAAGTAATATAATTTTTCTGTGTGGGAAATTTTTTGCATAGCGTGAGAATTTTTTATAGTCACTCGATTTAAAGTGAAAAAAATCACTCATGTGTGCAAAGTCTACTTCTGGGAATATGGCGTTCATTATTCTGACTGGGCTTGCACGTAACTATTATTAAGACACAAATAACAGATATTAAGTATGTCTTATTCAAAAGCATGTTGGAAGTACGTGGATGGAACGTAAATATCAAGATCAAACTTAACAAATATATTCATTTTCATTCAGCTTCACACCCCTCAAAATATTGCCTACTCTACACCCCTTGTAGAGCGCGCCCCACCATTTGTGAACCACTGTTCTGGAGTGTTCAGTTTTGACTCCAAGTATGCAAGACATCCGAAAAATGACCTATAATTTCACCCTTTTTCAGTCGATATTGAATGTGATTTTGAGAGCGCAGCTACCCCTACATGTGGCTACACGATTGAGAGTGGAACATTTGCTAGAACATACAGAGATGCGGACAGTACGGGCTTCCCAGGTGTTGTTTTATATTAAATGACTTGATTTTTTTTTTGATGAAAGTTGCTCAAAGCAAGCTAACATGTACTTACTCGTAAATAAAGGAGACTCATATTTGAGCAAAGTTGCAGGCGACAACTTGAATGCAAAGAGCTACAGAAATTATAACGTATCTATGGTAACTAATTTTATAGAAATCTGGTGGTGCATTATGCGCACTAACTCTGAAATGAAGAAGGCTGATATCTGGGCAAAGTTACTGAGCACCAAGATAGCGCACAACCTGATAACTCTGACCTGGTACGCATACTATGTTCAGGTTGTGCGCCATCTTGGTGCACATACTACGGGAGCACCAGTTACTGGTGTGCCGTGTCCACCTAAATGCAAATAGCTTGTGAAACTATAGAGAAATATCATGGTGCATTATGTGCTTTCACTTAGACGAGACTCTTTATTGAGCGAAATTATAAGTTGCCGCTGAGATGAATTTCATTATTACTAATAATTTATAACAAAGTATAAATGCTGTTTACTACTACTACTAAATGTTTATTAGCTGCAAATTTTGGCGGTACAAAAGCATGTGGACCAAGATGGCGGACACTGGAACATAGTATGTGTAGCAGGCCATAATTTTATTTCAATTTCGCTCATTTTAGTTCTATTAGTTTGGGGACTAGCCTAGTGACTCTTGTAGTATTTGTACCTGAAATCATGGCCTAACCCTAACATACACATACTACGTTCCAGTGTCCGCCATCTTGTTCTTCACGTACTCCAGGAGTACCCTATTTTTCATGTAGGAAATAGAAAACTTTCAAATTTCAATCATATCACACATGCCATTAGTTTTACTTATATCTGATTTATTATGATAATATCATTAAAGCTTTATTTAAATATTCTTGGCTTTTAATGAATAGAATAAAATTTATATTATGTGGGATTTTAAAATAAATCACGAATTCCAGATTAGGAAGTTTTTTTAGAATGTATTCGGAATTGTCCAGTATTCAGTTATGGCAATCCTGTTTTTGAGCGAGTTCGCGTAACTTTGCTCAGAGCACATCTTCTAAAATAGCAAAACTGGTATTCTTTTATTTCTGATACATTTTAGGTTTTGTACTTGCTGGTAACGGTAAAATCCTATCTGGGGCCATAGGTTTGGCTGGCAATGAGGAACTATGCATGAGTGTCGACATAAAAGATACATCAAATGGCGAACTGGTAGCTAACGCATACAATGAAGCAGAAACGTGAGTAGATAGGGTAAGGTTTTTATATTAATCTTAGGGGAAAGGAAAGCCAACGAGGTGGCCTAATTATATTGCATACCATGGGTTCTTGTCTTTTTACCAGTTAGGGCACCAACAGGGCTCATTGAGCTTTGGAGACTATATTATACAGAGTTGTGGTGGTGCCTTCTTTCAGAAGGAATGAAGACTCATCTCTGAGCTAAGTTACGGACGGACACTGAATCGACAAGAGCTACTGAAACTATATAGTTACGGTGAGGCATTACTTTCAAGTCAATGGATTATGCGAGACTCAAGCAGTTCGTGTCAATACGGTTAAAAAAAAATTTTGGCATAATGATCTCTAATATATTTAGGTGTCTTATCCCAGAGGTTCAGAAACAGGGGTACATTAGAATATGTGTGAGAATATTCTTCCCATAACTTGTAATATTCTTTTGAATACATTTATTCGACTAATGCTAAAAACATTAAGACATGCCTTAAAGAACTTCTCAGGAAGTCACATTTTCTCCCCAATGAAAGCTACAGTAACTGCCAAGTCTACTTGCAGTTTACATGACCTATTTTGTCCAATCAAATCACACAGTACAATTTTGAGTACACCTGTAGTGTGTTTACCAGGTTAGGGTTAAGGTCTAGTTTTATTCTGATTTTCTTTTTTTGTTCTATTATGAGTTCGGGGATTGTCTGGGTTTGGCAAGTGAATATCCATCTGTCCATAGGTTTCAGTCCTTTTATACAACTTGATGTAAATGAGGCAAATAAAATTGGTCACCTCCGTATTGGAACACAAACCTCTCGAGCGCCTAATTTGGCGGTTACATGAGTGATCTTAAGTTGTGCAAAAAGTTTCAATGAAATTTTGTATTAGTTAGGCGCGGCGGTGTGGCTCAACGGACTAAGCGTTAGGAATACGCTCGATACCGCACCTCTAATTACTCTGCGTGGGTTCGCAGGTTCGAATCCTATGCAGGGATGGTTATGGATTGCTGGACTCCTCGCCGTCGTTGGGTGGTTCACGTAACCGCTGGTCGGTTACGGCTTCCTCCACCACCAAGTCCATGCTTCTGAAAACAAACAATATAACTAATCCCATACCCGACTTGGAATGGTAACCGGACGAGAGGCCGTGGTTCGCCATATGGATAACCCGTCATATCGGCTTTCCTCTCCCCCGAGATTAATATGTAAATCCTATCCTATCCTAGTTTGTGATGCCAATACATTCAATATTTTTCAGGAAAGCAATCTGGCGATTTTCTGCCTCAATCAATTGGAAAACAGAGAAATTCAAGTTAAAGAAAGTAAAGTCTACTGATACTGAGGTTTGTCAGAATATACTTTACGAAAAATGATTTTCTAAATCGCAAGTTTTTTTTAATCAGAATCTCAATCTACATATAATATAAATTTGTCAAGCTCTTCGCTGTGACATAGTCTGATTGGCTTCGTTAGGCGTAGCGTATTACCACCGCATATTCGTTTTTCCACGCTTCGCAAAGAAATAGCACCAGACTATGTTATATTGAAAATTTTACGATGTTGTATGTTACAATTTCTTCAAAAAAAAACATGATTTTGTGAAAATCCCCCCTCCCATTTTCACAGAACCAAAATTTGAAAAGTGAATTTCATTCTTCAATTTTGGGACGTAACCATTCAGAAAATAATATTCAATAGCCAGGAACAAAAATTATGCTAGACAATGTGATCGCGAGCAGAAGTCTTAGACTAGTTCATGCCTCTGACGGGGTTTAAATTTTGACTCTCTAGGCAAAGGGATAGAATTTAACAAAAAATTTTGGAACCACTTTTTTAGCGTATGAATAAAATAATTGTCTGCTGAGAATTCTCAGATAATTCAATATATGATACCAAAAATTTTAATCATAAAGTATTTAAATAAAATAATTTCAAATTGATAAGAATTGTAAGTCGTATTTTTACTTAGATAATAATGTACAATTATCTCAATTCAACAACAATCGTTAAAAATTGTCAGTCAACGATGAAAGATTGCGTCTTTAAACTTTGCAACTGCTTCCAACTCATGGAGTTTGAGATATAACTCCCGCTTCATCATCAAAAAACATTTTAAACTCTCATTCCAGATTTAACTCAAACTATTGTTCCCTCTAAGGTGCGCCATAGCGCAGTACCAAACCATTACGCAGTTAAATCTCATTCTCGTGCACTTGCAACATTACGTTTCCAAAGCGTAGCTCGTCTTATTTTTTAATGTCCAATAATTAATCAGCTACACATTAAGATTCAGCAAAAAACCTGGACAAAGTGTATAAACATTGGAAAAGCCTGAGAATATGGAGAAGCCATTATAATTAAATGTGTAATTTGTTCGCATTCTGATAATATATTATAATATTTCACGAAGTTTGTAAATCGTTTAGAAGTCTTTTAACTCAGCCTTAAAAAACTCCTGCTCACTAGAACAAACATTTGCTCAGTGTAAAATTTTCTCAAAGGAAACACTGACACAGACCCTATTGCTATTTTATTTATAGAAGACTCTTGACTAGAGAGTAATTTTTTTTTTTTTTTCTTACTTATGCTCCCCCCATGAACAAGGCATCATAAAAGCAATTATTTTTCTATTTAGGTCTATAACTTTTTTCTGTAACTCTAGGTACAACTGGAACTTGTGGCATCAGGGAATGTGGAATTGGACAATATCAAGACATTGGCCTCTGCGGACTGTAATGGTCTAGGTAAGTGATGAGATAGGATTTACATTCTTATCTCGGGGAGAGAAAAAGCTAATAGGACAACTTAATCATATTGCGAACCACGGCCTCTCGTCCGGATACCCTTCCATGTCAGGTATGGGATTTTATGGGATGGGAGTTAGCCAGTCATTGGTTTTCGGAAGCATGGACTTGATGGTGGAGGAAGCTGTACCCGACCAGTGGTTATCCCTGCACATGATTCGTTTTATTTGGTCATCAGCCTAACGGTCAAAATGTTTGATTTAAACTGTTGGACTGTGTTGGGATTGTAGGTCAGAGATTCAGGTTCAAATCAATTTTCTTCAATTTACATTTCAAATTGGGGGGGGGGGGAGGGTGTTTCAATTCACAAAACTATACGCCTCTAGCATATTTATAGATTTCTGTCATATATATATTTAAAATTTGTCAAACCAGAAATAACCGCAAAAAGAAGTGTTCCCTCTGCTAAATTTAATTTTTTACTTTTGCTTTACTACAGCCACGCCATGTGCGAAACAAAATCTCGATCACGGAAAAATTTCTCCCGAGAAGGACTTGTACATCATGGTTGAGGAGGTCAGTTACACTTGCGACAATGGTTACATTTTGGAAGGTGGACAGACAGGAACATGCAAACAGGACGGTTCTTGGACTACGACACCATTTTGCAAATAAAGTAATATAATTTTTCTGTGTGGGAAATTTTTTGCATATCGTTAGAATTTCTTATAGTCACTCGATTTAAAATCACTCATGTGTGCAAAGTCTACCTCTGGGAAAATGGCATTCGTTATTCTGACAAGTTTTTGTTTGCACATATTCTTGGTATTTTTGTGAAACGGTTTTGCAAATCGCTCATGTGTGCAAAGACAGAATATCTCTTTTGTGAAATGGCTTTATTCTGGCAAAATTTTATTTTCACATATTTTCAATTTTTTTTAAAAATGTCGTTCTATTTATGCCACGTTTTGAACTGTTAATGGTATACATGTAGATTTCTATCATCTATCAATGCTTCATTTTTACGGCTAATAATAAGCTCATTTAATATAAACTTATTGCAGCACGATTCACATCTCAGTTATCTGTAGAGATGAGCTTCACCACGGATAATGAATAGAAAACTCTAATTTTTTATATTTCTGTGGAGTTCTGATTATATTTTGCAAAATAGGGAAATATTGATTAGACATGCACAACAGAAAATCAAAGAAGTCTTTTGTACGCCAATGGATCCAGGGGCATTGTCAGAGGGGTTTTGGGGGGTCGGAACCACATCCCACATAGCAATATTTAGTTTTATATTCTGCCCTGTAGTTAATTTCAATACTTGATGTTGTAAATTTATTTTGTTTTCACTGAATTATAATGTATTTCCGAGATTTCACATGTAACATGTTTTATTATAAAGACAGAAATTCGCAAATCAAGATGATAACACTTTTTATTGATAAATGAAACGTGACTCATTTTCTAGTAAAGTCATGGGAAACCACTGAAATTCCAAAATTTATAGAATTAAAGATAATTTGGAAGCGAGCGGTACCCTAGGACTGTAGTGTCAGATCCCTTCATCACCCGTCATCGCCCCATCCTGGTGTCAAGATGAATCAGTGTTTCACTGCTCTCCCAAACCCGGTTGCCAGATCGCACAATGTGATCCGGCTGCTGTAGGTTGGGATAGCCTATGCTTCAATCTTGATGAACATCTGCATGACAAACAGTTTCCGATCAAACAGTTATCAAGTTCATGCTTCCGAAAACAAATAACTAACTAATTCCACACCCGACATGGAATGGTAACCGGACGATAGGCCGTGGTTCGCCATATGGTTAAGCCGTCTCATCGGCTTTTCTTTCCCCCGGGATGAATATGTAAATCCTATCCAAAGAGTTTCTTATCACATGCAAATCTAAGAATACGGTACAACTTCAGAATACTGTCAACCTGTTTCCCTTAGTATACAGGAATACTTTCAATACTCCGGGTTGCATCTATTAACACATCAGTTACGGTGGGACACTGCGGTAGTTGCCGTGCTTTTAAAACGCCCTTACGTTCATGCAGAAATATATTCAATTCATAGTTAAATTTATAATGAATGTGTAGTTTTGGAGAAACCAATTCTTGTAAGTCTGAAAATGGAGATTTACTTCACAACATATGAGTTGAACAAACGGAACCCAGTGATAACTTATAATCGTTTTTTGTTTGTTCTCAGACCCGTGACGTCACTCAGACAGATTCATTTATACATCGATTATGAAGATTTCGCAAACTTATCTTTTTATACATGTCCACCAGACTTTCTTACATCAGAGAATAGCGAATACTCGTCCTACCTGGAAAATGAAAGGATTTATTTATGAGATTCTGATCTAACGAAACGTTTGTCTGGTTGTATTTTGTTCCTCTAGTCTAGATCTATCATCATTATACTATTCATTCATACAATGGTATTTAAGTTACTCAAATACGGGAATTGATCCTAAAGATTTCGCAAACGTTTACCTTTCCATACATGTCCTCCCCACCTTCTTACATGAGGGAATGGGGAATACTCGTCCTACCCGGAAAATGCAAGGAATTATTTGTGAGATCCTGATCTAATAAAACGTCATCCTGGTTGTATTTTGCTCTTCTGGATCTATCATCATTAAAGTAAAAATCATTGAATCCTGGTGTCTTGGGAGTCTTTACAATTGGCATTTCAATTAGATTAAACTGTTGTCGATAATTTATAGCAATATTTTAAACAGTCATTCAACTGTTAGATAATTTTGTCTTTGTAAATCACCTTTTTTGAATTATGAAAGCATAAATGTGAAATTCAGTTATTTAAAAGTTTAATTTTGATAATTATAATTCACAAAATTTGAAATAGAAAAAATGACGAACCTGCTTTTTTGATTCGAAATAAATTTAGTTTTCATGTGATATACTTTTTGTTGATCTCTCGTCGGTTTTTCAAAGAAACCAGGATAAGCTAAACAATAGTTCAGACTCGTTGAATTAAGACAGATTATCATTGATAATACCGTAACTATATACTACTACTAGATATCCAACCTCGCTCGTCGTTTAATAAACAAACAAAGGCGATGTAGGACGGACGGTAGGTTCAGACAAGGTGCTTAACGACGACGACGCTCCTGCATCAGAGCTCGCAAACTTCCCTGTTCGTTGATGACTGATCGAAATATTTGCTGAAGGACGTGGAGAATTTGATAACAATGAACAAATAATTGTGAAAATGAAGACGCAGTCTGTCTTGCAAATTACCAGGATGATGTGACAACTTTCTTGTCGAAAGAAAGCAAGGCATCAAAAATGCGATGCATTGCAAAAAATGTCAGTTAGATGTAGGTAAAGTGGTGACGAATATGAATACTTTGCACCTTATATAAAAAAAAAACTTAGCAGCATAGCGTTTTGGTCTCACTCTATCTAAAGTATTGTACCTTTTACAGAAGTTTTTTCTCCACTTGATCTATAATCAGGGCTGCCATAACGTCCTTATTTCTAAGATTTGTCTTTATTTTGAAGGCCTTTGTCTTAGAAAATATTTTTGTCCTTGTTTTTACCAAAGATCCTTATTTTGATATGTGTCCTTATGAATGAATATACCGGTGAATTAAACTTTGAATTTGATTTAGATCTGGAACTTCATAAGATCTAAAATGAGTAAACGTAAAAACATCAACGAAACGAATGGCCAGTGCCGTGCGCACTGCAGCTCTCGTGAATGTGACATTAACCTGGAATCCATAGATAAATAAGCAATTTCTGCTCACAATGCAACCCAGAAGGCAGAAGCACAAGGACTCTGCTCAAAAAACTGAATCAAACCAAGAGTCAATGAATATACAAGAGTCGCACTGCATGGACACATTCTGTTTATTACATTTCATTCATTGTTATCTTATTACTGCACTATGTTTTCCTGTCCTTATTATGGGGTTCATATCGATGGCAGCACTGCCTATAATACTAAATCTAAAAGCCTAATAACCACCAATCTCACAGTCGAAGAAATCGAAATTTTAGATTACATAACAGGATATGCTATTAGAAAAATTTATCACAGTGAAGGAATTTCAGCTAGTCATAAACTCATATTGTTAAAAAAAATTACGCTCACGAAAGTGACAGAAAGAAAAGATTTCCTAAAATAATGACCTAAACCTAGGCTTACCATACGTCCCGCTTTAGGCGGGACAGTCTCGCTTTTTAGCGTCTTGTCCCGCCATCCCGATAAGTCAGTCAAAAGTCCCGATTTCGCGTTCAGCCATTCAGCAAAATACATGAACCTGTTCTCGTTACGATTGTTGCTGTGTAGCGCAACGCTAGCCTACTTACTGAGTGTGAATGCGTTATTTTGTTTGTTTCGTTGTGAATGCGTTATTGTGTTTGTTTCGTTGTGAATGCGTTATTTTGTTTGTTTTGTTGTTTCCCGCTAACATTGTTAGCGAACGTATCACATGTAAAATCAATTCTAATTGGTCCTGTTCGGACCTTCACGTGAAGGTAACATTGAACAACGTCTTTTTGAAGGTGTTATCTACAGAAAAGCAATAAGTAGATTTTCAATGCCTGAAAACGTCAGACTATTTCATTATTCCCTTTGCTGTACATTAAAAAAACGAAAATCGGATCATTCGTATAGTTAGCGGCTATTCCTTTCTATTTTTCGAACTGAGCCCGATATTTAGATAGAGAATATGCGCATGAACTCTCGATGACAATATGGTCAATGGAGACATCCGAGATGGCTTTAAATGTAGGCCTATGTAGTAAAATCGGTAAAATGTCTTTGGGAGGCGTCCCGCTTCGAATTCCAAAAAATATGGTAACCCTACCTAAACCTAACCTGGTACACATACGATGTTTCATCGTCCGCATCTTGGTACACGTACTTCTGGAGTTCCCAAGTTGTTTTCTCAATAATCCATAGAAATACAAATTTTAATTATTAATGTGATTAAACATTGAATATCGAGTAATGTTAATAGTGGTATTGATGTTTTTTGAGGCCTTGGGAGTGGTTCTTAGTGGGGGTAAAGAGGCAATTTAGGTTCTATCACATGCACATATTTCTTTGAGTAATCGCTGCTTTTCGATCAACTTCTTATTATATGTGAACTGGAGCACCGATGGATCCTCAGTCCCGCAACCTGCAAAATATGCATTTTTTAAACTGAATTTTTTTGGTTGTTCATTCAATATTAAGGGTCATGGGCATATGGGGGGAGGGAAGGTTTTTAGTCGACAAGAAAGACCCCCCTAGAAGGTCTGAGCGGAAGTCGGCAAATGTGGGTTTTCAATAGTCCAGATGGTCTGACTCTAAAAAGTGTTTCAAGCCACGAAAAATTTATATGTATGATATAGAAAATGAATATAGATAGAAGACTTTTATTTTACATTTGAGGGGAGGGGGTTCTGACAGATGTTTGGTCCAATATGATATATTTGGATCCCTTCATACGTTGGAGAAGCAAAGAAATGTTGTTGTTTTTTATCCTATAACAGAAACATATAAGTACAAAATGAGTTGCAGCTGTATAGCATTTATTTTGTTAAAAAATCCTCGGGCTATTCACCTGTTGTAGACTCCCAATGTGTAAAATAGTTTATGAAATTTTGGCTGATCCACTGCAGTCCTTTGTCTCCAGATGTTTCAAAAGGAGTAGATTTCCGTTTTTAAGGTTGGCCACGCTTGTAGTGCTGCTGCATATGCCATGAAAGGTATTCTGCAGTTTGCAATACTTGGCAGTTGCTTCAAATTCAGACATTTCCAAAATCTCAGCAACAGATGCTGGAAGAACCTAGAAAGAATAATTTCTATGGTTCATCTGTTATTAATGACCTGAATAATGTTGGTCATTTCGATAATAATAATCATGCTCCAAGTATTTAAATGTTCAATAGGAGATAGATCCCATAAAAAATACCAATAAATGAATATCTAAAACAATACTTTGTGCTATACCTGTGCTGAATATTTAACAGACATTTTTGTCAAGCTATTAAGGTAAACATGTTGGTCTGTTAGTTTACATGACTGTTTCAAATGTTTTTTTTAGATATATCTTCATAAATTCTCTAGATGTGTTTCCATGCCAAAACCCCATCTGGTGACAGAAAATCATTCTTCAAAAGTGAGTTTCGAGCAGTCTACAAAAATTTATATTTTAGTTGCGATATTTTGAAATTGCCTACAACAATTGATGCTTAAGCCTTGTCTACCATCTAAGCATGTATGTTTTATATATTTAAGTATAACAGCCACTTTGACAAAATGTTATTTGAAACAAAAATGTGAATACCTAATAAAACAAACTGGAATGAATAAAATGTAACGGTTCCAGGAGAAATATTCATGCATTCAATGAATGTGGTGGATTTTGCAGTAGCAAAAAAGTTTTCGCTATTTATTACAAATCAATAATTTAAAAACACTCGACAAAATAATGCAACATTTTTTTGGCATATCTAAAATTGAAAATATATATATGTTGAAGCCATGTTTAAATAATAGCAATGATAGGTATCCAATTTATTTGAATAGGGGTATTAGTACCAGGCTGAAATCAAGCAAAATAGATTCACATGGCAAACGTAAAGCACCTCTTATGTTGTCCTATGCAGCTGGTGACTTCGTATACAATGACAGAATGATTTGAAATAAATCCATCATAAAACATTCATTATTTGAAGTTAAAATATGTGTGTTCAATTTATGTTTTCATACCCAACTTCAGGGTACCACATATCTTTTTTGCTGAAGGTTTTAGTTCCTCAATCAAAAACTTTCATTGATATGGCAGTATGGTGTAAGTTGAATCTGATTTTTGAGATAAATCATCACCTATTAGTCAATTTATATCCTTGCTTACTGCTACACAGCATAAGTCATCACACTGCAACTTTTTTATGATCCTTTTCCTGAAAATATACATATTAGGTTACAATGTTACATAATATTTTGATCTCCTATCTAAATTTACATTCCTTGATAAATCATTACTGTATTGGCTACCTAGGACATTCACAACTTACTCTTTTTATGCTGAACAATCGTAGCACAAAGTGATTCTCTACTACATCTACTCATTGGAGCCTTAAAGTGAATTTAAAATCTTCAGATCTTACTGTCATTTGTCAACATGCTTTCAAGTGCTCTAGGACCGGTTTTAGGATCTTCCCTCTCAAATGATTGCTCTTCTATTTTGTTTTGTAATCTGCATTCTATAATAAAATCTTTATTAATGTTGATGCACAACTAATTCGAATCTTTATAAATCCACTTAATCTTGTCGTGAGACAACGCCGTCAGAACACAGGAAAACGCACGATAATTTTGGAAGCAATAATCTGTCTGCGCCTAGTTGGGCGTGACGGCGAATCCAACATCGGGACCAAATATAGGAAGTTACACAGGGTTGATAATACACATTGGAGGTAGACTGATAAGCTTTCTTTTCATAATATTGAATAAATGGACAATGTATTATGACGCCTGTCCGCTAAGGATATTTGACTTTCGCACAAGTTAGCTTACATTCGAAGCCAACAAAGACACTCCATTCACACAA